TGAGGGTGGGAGCCAGTTCAGTGAGTGCTCTCTGTCCCTGAGTACCACGGCTCTCCCCAGCAGTTATCCACCCACCCAGAGCCCCTCAGGGCATCAGAGTTAGCAAATTAAATGGTAGTAAATTACCTTTCTACACTATGTAAATGGAAAATTTGTATTTTCTTGTCAAATGGAAAACTATAGTTTTTAAAATGCTTACTTGTGGTGAATATCATTTGTAGAATAGAAAAGAATAAAATTCTGTGCAGAGGATGCAGCGAAATAAAGATTTATGGTGCTCTTCATGAGGTAACTTTTTAAAAGAGGGGACACAGTACACATTTTGTAAAATTTCAGCTTTTCAAATTTCAGCTTTTTACTCCTGTTTACGCCAATGTACTGAGGGATGTTATTGAGAGTGAACATAGGTTTGTTAGTGGGAACCTCAACTTAATAGATGTGTAACCAGAGAAGCCCCACAGAAGGAAATAGCTGCCTTGTCAGACTATTTCCTGGCCGTTGCCTCAACAAGGAATCATTCAGCCTTATTATCTACTCTAAGTAATCTTTAAAAACAACAAACACACCTTAAAGTATCAACAGTAGATTCTACCCACACTACTCCTGACTCCAAATGTGTGCCACACTTTCCTGCATCACCCAGTTCTCCCACTCTCCGGGCACCAGATCTGTCCTACATTCAATTCTACACCAACCAACTGCCTGAGTTATTGCAGACCTCTATTGACCTCGAGCAAGTACAGTCAGTCAATCCAACAACAAAATGTGATCACTTGGAAGCCACCAAGAGCCAAGAGGGTAGGCAGGGGAGTGTGATCATGGTGAGACCCACCAGCACCACCTGGCAAAGGCAAACAAGCCCTTGCATAACCTCTGAGGTGCCGCCTTCCTAGCTCCACTGAAAGAAGAAATAGCACCACCTTCATGGCAGACGCAAGGCATGCTGGGTCCTGCAGTGTACTGATTTACACAAGCTAGGCAATCTCTAGCCTCCTGGCTTCATTTAAGTAGGATTCGAATATTAGGTTCACAGGTTGGAGCAATTATTTTTTCCCTTTTTAATGATGAGGTAATCATTCTATTAATGTGTGCTTATGACTCCAAAGCTAGCTGTCTTCACCACTTTACTAGATACCTACTGTTTAAAGCATACACAGCACAAAGCAGACAGTTCATGGTTGACAAACTGTGAACTTACTACAATTGTACAACTGTTTTGATACAATTCATTTTGACGACTGTGCTCAGTATTGAGATATGGAGATAACAGCTCCCAACCTACAAGAATCTAAGGCTGCTAGTGACCTAGACACTATGTAATAGCATGTAAAAGGGGGAGCACCCAGCATAGGCTTTTGGCCAGAATCAAGCCCAGTTGTAAGAAGATAATTTTTCTTACTGGGAATGAGGATCAGTTCAAGTCCACATAACAGAGAGAAAGTCCAGATGCAAAACAGCAGGATTGGGATGGTTAACACAGCCACTCCTGGCTTACAGTTTTCTTCAGTACTCCAATAAGGAGGATTTGCTAATTAAGAGTTTAAGCATCTGGGCTCCCTGGTGTCTTAGGGATTAAGGTTCAGCAATATCACTGCTAAGGCCTGAGTTTGATCCCTGGCCAGGGAGCTGGCCCATATACGGTGCAGCAGACCTCTGCAGTCTCACCTGCTGTTCCCCTCAGCAGTGTATGTCAGTAAATCAGCATGTTCTCCTCCCCATCTGGTCTCTGATGGATCCTCTTAACACCTGTACCTTTGGCCTACACCCCAGTTCTTCTACCCAAAAGTTAAAGGGAAAAAAAGAGTTGAAGAACCTTCTTGTTATTCTTAAGTTTCTCAACTCAGTTGTCCTCACTTGCTATTTGTAACTTTTCAAGGCCTCAACTGATTATTACTCACTAGGTCAGGCAATCATTTAATAAATATTTATTGATTGCCTACTCTGTGTATTGGGTAGATGGAGAATGGACAAGATAGACAACATTCCTGCTCTTCTGGGGCTTACATGCTTTCAGGGGAGATAAATGAACACTAACTAAACAAATGTCATGATTATGTAGAATATCATAATTATGATTAAATAAATAGAATTGTCTAAAGGCAAGGTAGCTGACGAATCCTTCTTTAAAAAAGTGGTCAAGAAGGCACTAGACAAGAGATATCTGAATGGAGATCCAAATGGGAGCCATAGCAGAAGGAAGGAAGAGTATTTTGGACATGAGGAACAGTGACTTCAAAGACAGACACTTGGAGATGCACTTAGTTCTAGGCACCTGTTGTGTTATGGAGCTAATGAGGGCTATTTTTCTTTCATATACCAACAATAAGTGATATCGCAATAAAAAATGTTTTTTGGTCCTTCTGAAAAATAATTATTCACATTCTGAAACTTACCAAGCCCCCATATTTGGCATATGAATAAAAAATAAAATACAGTAGTGGTGGAAGCTTAGAGCAAGGAATTTTTAAAGATTTATTTTTATTTATTTATGCATACAAGAACTGGGGCATAGGGCAGAGGTGTTGGAGGTGACAGCATTCATTGAAGACAGTGGGAAGCAGAATAGGCAGATCTACTGAGATACATTGCTGAGAGAAGTAGTGGGAGAGACAAGGAAGGTCTGCTGTGCTGTGGGTTAGCTCCCTGGCTGGGAATTGAACTCCTGCTGCAATAGTTGGAGATAGCTTAATAGCTCTGAGACTTTAACTCTGTGCCATCAAGGAGGTCCTAGAGTAGGAAAATTTAGATGTAAGCTCTCACAAGGACAAAAACCAAAGGTAGGGAGTAGGGATGATTACTTAGTTGTTGAACTGGCAAACCTGCTAAAGAATTTTCAGGAATCTGAGGTAGGAGCAGAAAGGATTATTAATTATAGGAAACCAACCCAACTAGACCCCAAATTAATAAAATTCCACAAAGGAATGAACTCTCCCCCACCAACAAAGAATACTATAAAAGAACACACCTTGATCTGGTAAAACTCAGATCTTATCCCAAGTCTACCCAACTGCGTCTATGTAGGCATCTCTTTTTCCTAATACACCTTTAAAAATGCAGCCTTTGCCCCCCCCCCCCCCCGGGTGGGGGTGGTGTTAAAGCACAGCACTGAGAATCTAAAAGCCACTTTCGCATCAGTTCGATTCCCGCCTGCTCCAGAGGTGACCACATGGCGTGGCAGACCGTTCCTGACCCGCCCGCTGCTCCCCTCAGCAGTGTACTTTGTAGATCTGCCTGTTCTGCTCCCCACTCTGTCTCTCTTGAAGCCTCTCACCGCCCTTGAGCCTCTGGCCTATACCCAGTCCTGTATGCACAAAAAAAAAAAAAAAAAAAAAAAATGCAGCCTTTGCCTGTTTGTGTCAATGATGACTCTTTCCTTAATAAACTTACCATATGAGGGAAAACTGTCAAACTTTTCCCAAAGGAACCCAAGAAACTCACTCGCAGAGCCCCAACTGCTGAACCCCAAAAGAATAAAAAGCTGTCATATATCATGTAATCCAATTCCTCATTTTCCATGACAAACTGAGACCCAAAAAAGTGACATGAAAGTCCTATGATGGCATGATGATAGTGGCAGAGCAAAATTCTTAATAGGTTAAGGATGAGCTATTTGTGATCAGCAAGCACTATTTGTGTTATTTGTTTTGAAAATGATACATTTGATTTCCCTCCATTAAATTTCTCCCACTGAGCTCTTCCAAATTCAGTTGTTAAAAAGAAAAACAACTTTGACAAAGAGGAGGTTATTCACTCCTCTTACCTGGATGTGAAAGCTGTGTGAGTTTACATTTACTCTGAAAACTCCCATTCAGGGTAAATGATGTTGTTCTAAACTCAAGCTCTGACCCAGCTTGAGAATCCCGGCTGAATACAGGGAGGCTGAATTCCAGACAGGAAGTAGAGGCGGGAAGTTGGCTCACACACCTGTTGCCCACACCTGCTCAGATGACTGGTCCACAGCAACTGGGTGAAGTTGCTTCACCTCTGTTGAATAGCTCAGCTTCAGAGGACCAGAGCCAACATAAAAACTGAAAAGCTCCTGCGCCAACACCAAGGAACACCTACAGCAACGATTAAAATGGGAATTTCAGGCCAGGCCAAAAAAGATTAGGACTCGAATTTATCAATTCCCAGAACATCAGCCTACTCTGTGTATTGGGTAGATGGAGAATGGAC